TGTTACGAAGGGCCTAGTAGTATTTGCTACTAGTTGATCCGAAGCGGCCTTTAGAAAGGTCATTGATCCGAAACGGCCTAATAGTTACTAGCAGTAGCCTGTCTAACCGCTTCGGGCCATGAACCGTGTGTTACTGCGGACTGTCGGCATCGTGGGAGGAGGCTTCGTGGCCGTTTCCGTCACGTCGTCGCTGTGCCTGAGAGCTGCGACTGCAGTGCTGGAAAAACGACGAGTGAGTCCGTCTGCTCATCCCCCTCTTTCCCCCTTCCCTTTTCTTACTCCGTTCCGCCCTCTCCCTCAACCCCGCTTACTCTCCGCTCATACCTCTTCGAAGTCGTCGCTGTGTCTGAGGGCTGCGACTACATTGTTGGAAAAACGACGAGTGAGCTCGCCTGCCCATCCCCCTCCGGTCCCTCCCCGTCCTTCCCATCCCCTTTTCCTCCAACCCTGCACCCTGCTTTGAGGTTATTTTTGAGGCGCCTAAAAAATCTGCTCGTCTGCCCATCCCCCTCCCGTCCCTCCCCCCCTTCTCATCCCCCTTTCCTCCAACCCTGCACCCTGCTTTCTCACCGGCTCATCCCCTCGCTCGCCCACGTTGTTGCTCTTCCTGAGGTAACAACTGCGGTGCTGGAGAAAAATCGACAACGTCTCCAATCCCCCTTTCCCCTCCCTCCCCTCCCTCCCTCCCTCCCTCCCTCCCTCCCTCCCTCCCTCCCTCCCTCCCTCCCTCCCTCCCTCCCTCCCTCCCTCCCTCCCTCCCTCCCTCCCTCCCTCCCTCCCTTTCTTGCGTTTCTGTTTCCCTCCCCCTTCTCCTCCCTCACCTACTTTCCTATCTTCCCCTCTCCCTCTCTCTGTCTCTCCCTCTGTATCTCCCTCCCTTCCTAACGTATGTAGCTCATTATGTGCTAATCCCATTGCTCATGCGCTATCCCATTTCTCTGTGATCTTTTACTGTGCTCATTATGTGCTATCCCATTTCTCTGTGATCTTTTACTGTGCTCATTACGTGCTATCCCATTTCTCTGTGATCTTTTACTTCGCTTCCCTTTCCCATATGCGGCAAGGCCGTCCCTCCTTGCACAGAGCGCCAATGCAAGCTGTTTTAATGTTGTCATTTGTGTGGTTCCAGTCGTATCAAGAGTACACTCAGTAATTCCCACAAGTACCATCGTTCATCTCCACTTCCTTTTCGCACATAGCCCAATATGGCCCCCTTGCACCGTCTGTCAAAGCAGGTGGTTTAACCCATGCCACTTGTGGGTTTTTTGGGATTCGTTTTTTTTGCCGATATACTTCTTCCCCATACCCTCCGTGTGTCCAGTCTTAACCCACTTCCCTTTCCCATCTGGTCCTAGCCTGCCGTCCAAGCACCATGTGTGAAACGAAGCTGCTGTACCCTAGTCAACTGTGTGTTTTCGGACATTCAAAGATGCCCACTAACCCTATCACTCAACCCACTTCCCTTCGCCACATAGGCCAAGGCTGCCCCTCCTTACACCGTGTGCCAAAGGGAGCGGTTCTACGGTCTACCCTTGTCAGTTGTGCCGATCAGCGGAGAAGATCCAATGGAGCCCACTGGCTGACTGACCTGACCCTGTGCTGCCTCTTCCATGCATATGCCCCACATGCAAAGAGGTGACTTTTGAGTCGACTCAAAAGTCTCAGTTGTGTTGATCAGCGGGGAAGATTAGTGGAGTCCTCTCGCTGACCTTGTGCTGCCTCGGCCACCCATATGCCCCACATGCTACGGCAACAAGATTTGACGGAGTGACGGCTTTCTTCTTTCACCTCCCCTTTCCTTCCCCACATAGACCAAGACCGCCCCTCCTTGCACCGTGTGTCAAGGCAAGCGGTTCTACCCTTGTCAGCTGTGTCGATCTTCGGGAAAAGCAATTCTGCCCATGCTCATCTTCTTGCATACCCCTCCAATAAACCCCATCTTTCAACCCCAGTTCCCTTCCACCTAGGCCAAGACTGCTCCCCCTTTCACCGTGTGTCAAGGCAAGCGGTTCTACCCTTGTCAGTTGTGTCGATCTTTGGGGAAAACAACTCTGCCCATGCGCATCTTCTTGCATACCCTTCCAGTAAACCCCATCTTTCAACCCCACTTCCCTTCCATCTAGGCCAAGACTGCTCCCTTTTGCACCGTGTGTCAAGGCAAGCGGTTCTACCCTTGTCAGCTGTGCCGATCAGCGGGGAAGATTCAGTGGAGCCCACTCGCTGACCCTGTGCTGCCTCGGCCATGCATGCATATGCCCCACATAAACCTCATTTCAATTCCAATCTTCTCCCCCTCACAGGTCAAGACTGCCCCCCCTTGCACCGTGTGTCAAGGCAAGCGGTTTTACCCGTGTCAGTTGTGCCGATCAGCGGGGAAGATTCAGTGGAGTCCTTTAGCTGACCCTGTGCTGCCTCGGCCATGCATATGCCCCACATGCAAAGGCAACAAGTGCGTTACAGTGTCTAAGTGTTTTTTTTTTTGCGTCCGTGCTGTAGCCCCCATCATGCGTTGAAGCATCTTGGTGTTTTTGTTTTCAATGTCAGTGCTCATATTGATTCATTGCCATGTCTGCTTGCTTGATACGTGCAGGATCCAAAAATGTTTGAACTGCGCTGGAAGAGGTTATGTTTAGTAACTTTCAATGAATCCAATTCTTGTGCCATCTCCATGCTCCCTAAGATTTGAAATGCATGGCTTCCATGCTGAACACATTCAAATCACATTATGCTCGTGCTACTGTACGGAGAAAATTAACTTGTCACCTACACTCTATCTTGGAGATTGTAAAAGGAAACGAGGAAACTCAGTAGTGGAGTCAAATCCTTCACACACACATCTCCTCTGCAGTTGTCTGATGGTGATGCCTCTGGACTCTCTGGTGACACTTAGTGATCTGGACTCTTGGAATATTGTTCCACCATTTCGTGTAGATTCCGTCGAAATGGCTGCCGTTTCTTCCGCGCTCGTGTCAGCTGCCTCTCCCCCTCGAGATTCCTTGGTTCTGCTTCTAATGAAGGGTCATCCAGGCAGCGGTAAAAGCACACTCGCTCGAAGCCTCGCACGATCCCTACGCTGGCCACTAGTCGATAAAGACGTCTTTCGCGACGCGACGATGCTTCTAGAACGGCCGGACGGACCGTGCGCGACTCCCGTCGACGCACGTGTGCTGAACAGCCTATCATACGATGCCATGTGGCAGATGGCAGAGGTCCAGCTAGATCTAGGTTTATCCGTGGTTGTCGATTGTCCTCTAGCGCACGAGGCGCTTTTTAAAGCCGGCGTGGCGCTCGGTACGCGTGTCGGAGCTGAGGTTGCGTTGATCGAGTGCCACGTGTCGGATTTGGACACGTGGAAGCGGAGGATCCAGTCCCGTGCAGCGGCTGCTCTGTCTGACGGTCGACCATCAGAAAACGTCGAGAATTGTGAGGGAAGCTGCCGGCCGTCTGTTCTTAGCCAACCACATGCTGGAAGCAACAGAGGGAATAACGAGAGCTCGGGAGCTAGTGCTGGAACTGTTTCTGTGAGTTCTGACGGAGCAAGCGAGATGGTTCCTGCCGCTATAAGAGCAGACGGAAAAGAAGCAATACACAGGCAGACAGAGCTGGTTAGACGCGTTAGTGATTCTAATGATGTGAGCGAGCATGAAAGAAGAGGGGAAATTAAGATGGAAAGTGCGAGTGAGAGTGAAAAGCAACAGACCGTAGACAGGTTGAAGTTTACAGCGCGCATGCACACAGACTCAGGAAGACGCGGGAGTAAAAATGATGATGTGAGCGTGCAGGAAAGAGGAGGGGACAGCGCGAGTGAGAGTGAAAAGCAACAGACTGCAGACAGGTTGAGTTTTACAGAGCGCATGCACACAGACTCAGGCGGAGGCGGGTGTAGAGACGATGATGTGAGCAGTCAGGAAAGTGGAGGGGACAGCGCGAGTGAAAGAGGGACTAGGATTGAGAGTGAGAGGGGGAAAGCGGCAGGAGTAAGTTTGAAGGGGCGGTGGCACCGGCCGGCTTGTTGGGAGGACATGCAGGAACTTCTGGATAGGTACAACGGCTGCTGGACCTACCCCACAGGTTCGGTACCGAAGCTGATGATAGACACGGGGATTGTGGGTCCGGATGAAGCTCTGGCCATGGCTTTGGGTTGGTTACAAACTGCCCTGGTGCTTAGGAGAAACTGAGTATGCTTTATCTATCTCACCAGCTCTTCACCTCTTAGACACAACGACTGTGGGCCCAGACCCAGACGAAGCACTGGCGCTGGCGTTGGCCTGCTTGGAATCTGCCTTGGTGATCGGGAAATACCGAGGAAGGGCTATATACACTTCATCTTATCCCGCCCGCACCGCATTGTGTAAAATAGTGAATCCGTTTTTTGTCCGATAGGGATTACATACCGTATGTTCAATTTGGATAGAGCTGTACAAGAAAGCCCTGGGCTCCTGTATTGTGCTGGTGACATGTTTTCATCAGGTTACCATGCTGCCGCGGCCAAACTTGCATTTGTCAAGGCAATGATTCCTGGCAATGCTTGTACTAATAATTCCTTGTCTTCTGCCATAATGCTTGTACTGTAGTACGGTACTGTAGTACTGCTATTGCCATTGTAGCAACTGGGCATATGTATGTGCATTATGGATTGGGTTGGTTCTTTCATCCACCTGTCATATGATAACATGTCATCCTGCGAGCTCCAACCACACTTTGTCGTTTGCCTACATTAAATGAATGTGCCTGCCTTTATGCCCATCTTCTGTAAATCAAGCCTTTGCATTGCATTGCCATTTCGTGTGAACCAAGAGCTCAATCGCCGTTTCTTGTCCACATTCAAAGAATCGTCCGTAACACTGGCCTTCTGTCCAAATTCGCTGAACCAAGTATCACGATCTTCCGCCTTGCAAAGGCCTAGTGGGGTACCTTCTGTCTCCCTCCACAGCCATTGGTCCGCTTCTGCTCGTCTCCCTCCCCTCCCAAGTTGACTTTCTAGTCGATTCAAAAGTCAGCTAGTGGGGTACTCTATTCCCTTCCAAAGCCATTGGTCCGCTCCTGCTCTTATCCTTCTCCTTCCGCCTCTCCCCTTTCTCCCTTTTCGCCCCTCTGTCGGTCTTCCCCCCCGTTTCTCTGTCCCTCACCTCTCCTTTCTCCCGCTGTCCTTTCCCTTCTCTCCCCTCTCTTCCTTCTCTCCCTTCTCTCCCTTCTCTCCCCTCTCTTCCCTCTCTCCCTTCCCTTCCCTCTCTCCCTTCTCTCCCTTCTCTCCCCTCTCTCCCCTCTCTCCCTTCTTTGTCTGCCTCAATCATCTCATCCCACCCATCTGCACCGCTCACTCCTCTTTCAACCCCACCACCTTCCTGTGAGTTTCTTCGAACAATCCGAGCCTCGTCCGAACCTGACGAGCTTCGGGAGGCAGGTTGCGAGTGGGAGGAGGAGGGTCGGGCACGGGAGGAGGAGGAAGGAGGTCTTGCGCTGCTGCCGCCGATGCTGCCGCTGCTGCCGATGCTGCCGACGCTGCCGACGCTGCCGCTGCTGCTGATCCCACTGATAGCACTATCATTCAAACCGCTGCTGTCTGTTGCTGCTGGAACAGTCGAAGGGTTGCTGCTGCTGCTGCTGCTACGCCTGATAGGCTGAGAGAATAGGGAGGGGTTTTCCTTATCTGCGGAAAAAAGGTGGGAAGACAAGTGGGGTGAAACAAAGCCATGAGATTGCGTAACACTCTCTACCGTTGCTGCTGCCGTGCTTCACAGATTTGGAGAACAGGAAAGTATATTTTTAACTGGTGTGGTGAATGAGGGAACAATACCACATGCCATGCACCCAGTACCTACGTGCCACAAGTAACAATACAGCACCTTACACGATACAGCACCTTACACGATACAGTATCTTAGATGATACAGTATCTTACACGATACAGTATCTTACACGATAAAGTATATTACACGATACAGCACCTTACACGATACAGCACCATACACAAGACAAACTGTGCCTTCATTAGAGTTACCTAAGGGTGTGTGCCATACCCCCAATGCTCGGTCCCATTTGTCAGCAGCAGCATGCACCTGAACACTACCTTACACGATACACCACCTTACACAATACAAACTGTGGCTTCTTAAGCTAAGAGTTACCTAATTGGATCGCCTGCCTGCAGGGTGTTTGCCACGTCCTCCATGCTCGGTCCCATCAGTCAGCATCCACCTCAACAGCCACCTCACGCGAAATTGAAGCCTTCCTTTTGCAGATAAAGAACCTATATTAATCGCCTAAAACATACCTAACTGGATCGCTCGCAGGGTGTGTGCCTGCCACGTCCGCCATGCTCGGCCGCATCAGCCAGGCCTTCTCAAGATGACGTACTTAAATGGATTGCCTAACACGCACCTAACTGGATCGCCTGCAGGGTGTATGTCACGTCCTCTGATTGGCCGCATCAGTCAGCAGCAGCACCATCCACTTGAACAGTGTGTGTGCCTTACTTACGTGATACAATAACCGTGCCTTCTTAGAATGTATGTAGTACCTAATTGGATCGCCTGCAGGGTGTGTGCCACGTCCTCCATGCTCGGCCGCATCAGCGGGTCAAACTGGATGCACGACTCCGCCAGCTCAGCGCACCGAGCAAACGCTGACGTGGCAGCCACCCTGGGCAGGGCCACATCAGCATCGGCACTGGCTCCGGCGCCGGTGCCACCTGTCACTCCTCCTTCGCCTCCTCCCCCTTCTGGCGTGTGACCGGCAAGCATGGAAGGATCTATCAGCTCATCCCACCTCTTGTCCTTCAAGAATGGTGTGGCCTGAAAGGTGTGTAGGAGAAGGATGGGGTGGGAAGTGGAGGGAGGTGGGGGAGGAGGTGCAAAGTCAACTAAGAGGAAAGGGAGTGTGAGCAACAGGCATGGAAGGATCGATCCGCTCATCCCACCTCTTGTCCTTCAGGAATGGCATGGCCTGAAAGGTGTGTGGGGAAAGGACGGGGAGCGTGGGGGAGGGAGGGGGAGGGAGGGTGGGGAGGAGGTGCAGAGTAAGTGAAGAGGAAGGGGAGTGCTGGCTGCAAGCATGGAAAGATCTATCAGCTCATCCCACCTCTTGTCTTTCAGGAATGGTGTGGCCTAAAAGGTGTGTGGGGAAAGGACGGGGAGGGTGGGGAAGGGAGGGGGAGGGAGGGTGGGGAGGAGGTGCAGAGTAAGTGAAGAGGAAGGGGAGTGCTGGCTGCAAGCATGGAAAGATCTATCAGCTCATCCCACCTCTTGTCTTTTAGGAATGGTGTGGCCTGAAAGGTGTGTGGGGAAAGGACGGGGAGGGTGGGGGAGGGAGGGGAAGGGAGGGGGAACGAGTGGCCTGGCCTGTGAGTGCTGAAGTTCCCAAACTCAGGCAAAGCTGCCAGTTCAGGCAAAGCTGCCAATTCAGGCAAAGCTGCCAATTCAGGCAAAGCTGCCAATTCAGGCAAAGCTGCCAATTCAGGCAAAGCTGCCAACACACAACAGCATTCCCTCATTCAACCGATGCGCCAGCACCACACGAAAAAAGAACCACACCAAGGATCATCACCAGCAAGCAGGCCTCAACAAACCAGACTCAACCAGTGTGTGAGCAGCGTGCCATCCTGAAACACCGGCACTCTGCCTCTCAGAATCTTCAGCAGCAACCAGTGCTATCTTTATGCCATGTGCATGTGACCAGCAACAACCAACAAGAGGCACCCCTCACTCACCCAGTGTGTGAGCAGCGTGCCATCCCCAAACACCGGCTCTGTGCCTCAGAATCTTCAGCAGCAACCAGTGCTATCTTTATGCCATGTGCATGTGACCAGCAGCAACCAAAAAGAGGCACTCCTCACTCACCCAATGTGTCAGCAGCGTGCCATCCTGAAACACCGGCACTCTGCCTCTCAGAATCTTCAGCAGCAACCAGTGCTATCGTTCTGCCATGTGCATGTGACCAGCAACAACCAACAAGAAGCACTCCTCACTCACCCAGTGTGTGAGCAGTGTGCCATCCCCAAATACCAGCTCTGTGCCTCTCAGAATCTTCAGCAGCAACCAGCAACCAGCAGCAACAACCAACAAGAGGCACCCCTCACTCAACCAATGTGTGAGCAGCGTGCCATCCCCAAACACCGCCTCTCTGCCTCTCAGAATCTCCTGCAACACGACCACCATCCCTAATGCCATGTGACCGGCACCACCCAGCGATATCGCCTTGACTAACAGCATGCAACCACAAGAAAAGAGCCACCCATCACTCACCCAATGTGTGAGCAGCGTGCCGTCACTCACGTGACAAAAGTGTTGTTTTGAGACGTCTCGAACACCGGCTCTCTGCCTCTCAGAATCTTCAGCAACACCACCACCATCCCTAATGCCTTGTGACCACCACCACCGAACATCGTTGGGTGGCGCCAGTGCCGGCCGGTGCTGATGTGGCCCTGCCCTGCCCAGGATCAGCACCACCCACCCAACGATATCGAAATCACTTTTGAGAATTCCCGAAAGTGATTTCAATACAACATCGTTGGGTGGCGCCAGTGCCGGCCGGTGCTGATGTGGCCCTGCCCTGCCCTGGATCAGCACCACCCACCCAGCGATTTGACTTTTGAGTCGACTCAAAAATCAGCACCACCCACCCAGCGATATTGCCTTAACTCACAGCACGCAACCACAAGAAAAGAACCATCCGTCACTCACCCAATGCGTCAGCATCGTGCCGTCTTCAAACACGGGCACTCTGCCACTCAGTAGTTCCAGCAACACCACTCCGAAGCTGAGATAGGGGCGGGGGAGAAAGGGAGCGAGGGAGAGCAGGAGTGGGGACACGGCATTACGAAGGGTGTGGGGAGTGGGTGGTATTGAAGACGAGTCAACAGGCTGTCAGTGCCGGCAGCACCACTCTGAAACTGAGAGGGGAGCAGGGGAGAGAGGGAGCGACGGAGTAGGGGCATGCATGGCATTACAAAGGGGTGTGGTGGGGAGTGGAGGGTGATGAAGGTGAGCGAACGGGGTGTAAGGGTCAGCAGAAACACCACTCCAAGCTGAGCTGAGAGAGGGGCGTGGGAGAGAGGGAGTGGGAATGGCATGTATATGTGACCAGCCAGCAACAACCAACAAGAAGCTCCCCTCACTCACGCAATGTGTGCCCATTGCTTATGTGCTATTGACCAGCAACAACCAACAACAGCAACAACCACTGTGTGCCCATTGCCACATGCGCGTTCTTCCCCCGCATCTCCACCATCTCTCCTGGTTGTCCCCTTTAGAAGCACTCATTTGTGCCTACCTGTACACGTCCATAGCAGTGCTGATCTCCCCCGTCATTAGAATTTCAGGAGCCATGTGGCCGTGCGTGCCGTGCCCATTGCCACATCCACGTTCTCCTCTTCAAAGACTGTCCCTGCGTGTACCCATTCCCACAACACCTAAGTGACGGAAGACGCGTCTAGCGTCTTAGACGGTTGCGTCTAGACGCAGCGTCTAAGACGCTAGACGCATTTCCGGCTAAGTTAGACGCATATTAGACGGAAACCCGGGCAGGCCTAAAAAAAGGTTCGGGCAGCCTAAAAAAACTTCCGAGGGCCATGGGGAGGGTGGGGGACATGCAAATATGACCCATTTGGGTCAAATTTCTGTTGTACCAAAACTTTTCCCTCATATTTTGAGTTCACAACAATCCTCATTTCTCATCATACATAGTTAGGGGACCACTTCTCTCTAGCAGTAGCCAACACGAAGTACATAGCTACTACTACATCCCTGCAATCACTAGGCCTCCTCCAACCTCTCCTCCTACTCCTCCGCCTCCTCCTCCTCCTCCGCCTCGTCCTCCTCCTCCTCCTGCCCCTCCCACTCATCCATGCACACGTCGTCCTCATCCGCCTCCACCTCCCCATCCTCCTCCAATTTGTACCCCTCCAATTTGTACCCCTCGCGAAATTCAATTTCGGACTTGGGATTTTTTTTTCCCGGGCTGACCGAATTTTTTTTACCCAAGCGTCTAGCGTCTAAACATGCGTCTAGCGTCTAGCGTCTAGACGCTAGACGCAAGACGCGTCTTGCGTCTTCCGTCACTTAGCACAACACCCTCCCTCCACACACACCTGTACACGTCAGTTGCAGCGCTGATCTCGCCGGTCATGAGTATTTCAGGGGCCATGTGGCCGTGCGTGCCCATTGCCCCATCCACGATCTCCCCCAGCGTCTCCACCATCTTCCTCTCGTGGTTGCTGTCCCCTTTATAAACACACTTAGTTGTGCATACCTGTACACATCAGTAGCAGCGCTGATTTCCCCAGTCATCAATATCTCAGGAGCCATGTGCCCGTGCGTGCCCATGGCCACATCCACGTTCTCCCCCAGCGTCTCCACCATCTCCCCCGTGGTGGGATCCTCTACTAGGATGGTTTGCTTGATCAGCTTCGCACACCCAAAGTCAGCCACCTGTACGGAAGGGTGGGATGGGAGGGAAACAGAGGGAAGAAATGGAGAGATGGGAGTCGGTGGCAACTCCCCCAGCGTCTCCACCATTTCCCCCGTGGTGGGGTCCTCAACTAGAATCGTCTGCTTGATCAGCTTCGCACACCCAAAGTCCGCCACCTGTAGGGAAGGGGATGTACGACGGAAGCCGTGAGAGAGAGAGAGAGAGAGAGAGAGAGAGAGAGAGAGAGAGAGAGAGAGAGAGAGAGAGAGAGAGAGAGAGAGAGAGAGAAGCGGAAGGAGAGGGACTACTACCGACACACTGAACACGTGGTGTTCTGCGCCCTGGCCGTCGAGACCTATGGGGCAAACGCGCCCCCCACGACGGCGTTCCTGAAACTGCTGGCCACAGCAGCAGCTAGGAACCGCTTCAGGGCCAGCCCCTTGGCGAAATCCGCCAAGAAGATGGCCTGCCACTTCAGCCAGCGCTGGTCAGTGGCCCTCCAGCGCTCCCAGGCGAACGCCCTGCACACCAAGGCCAGGGCTGGGATTGAGGCAGCACACCCCCAGATGGCAGCGGACCCCTGGCCGCTGCACCTGGGGGACATCCTCCACACGCTGGAGGGCTAGAGGGTCACTCTGGGGGGAGGGGAGGGGAAGAGGGGTGAGTTGATGGGCTTATGGGACTGAGGTTATCGTGGATAGAACTGCATGTCTGTACCCCTGCTGAATTAATACAACGGACCATTTGAGAGAGAGAGAGAGAGGGAGAGAGAGTGTGAAGGACAGGGGTGGAAAAGAGAGGGTGGACAGGACAGGTGGTGGCTGAAAGGTGGGTCTCCCCCAGCGTCTCCACCATCTCCCCCGTGGTGGGGTCCTCAACTAAAATGGTCTGCTTGATCAGCTTCGCACACCCAAAGTCAGCCACCTGGAAGTGGGGGTTGGGGTGTGATTCCTTTCCAAGCCAAGAGAGGGCATGAGGCGGAAAATGAGAGAGTGCAAAAGCGTGGAGAAAAGGGAGAGGAAGGTGGTGGTTCTCCCCCAGCGTCTCCACCATCTCGCCCGTGGTGGGGTCCTCAACCAGAATCGTCTGCTTGACTTTTGAGACGTCTCAAAAGTTGTGTTGGGGTCCTCTACTAGGATGGTCTGCTTGATCAGCTTCGCACACCCGAAGTCAGCCACCTGGAAGGACAAGGTATGTGTGTGCGTAAGCTGTGAGAGTGGAGTGTTTGTGAAGGAGAGAGATGGAGAAGAGAGCGGGAAAAGTGGTGGGTCTTCCCCACTCCACCATCTTTCCCGTGTTGGATCCTTGCCAACCCAACAGCAAGCCATGTTGGTGTGATGTGACTTTTGAGAATTCTCGGTGTGACTTTTGAGAATTGTCGGAGAACCACCTCATCCTTGCAACCTGCTCTTCCTCTTGTCACTCCCTTGCCTTCCTTCTCCTTACGTGGTTGATCAGCCTCAGCCACCACCTTTGAAAGAGTTTCCTCCCTCACCCCGTAGGTCCTCCCATAGTGGCGTGCCACCGGATGCTAGATCTGAGGTAACAGCTTTCCACTAATATGAGAGAATAACAGGAGAAAAGCAACGAGAGGGTGTTTGGTACTGAATTTACCTGAACCTGGCTCAGTCGCACACTTCTCGATGTGCACCTCGAGCCAGGCCCAGTTGCTTCAGATTGGTTCGTTAGATTCCCACCCCTCGATGTTTCCTCTAACCCTTCCCAACAACTTCGCCTCAACCCCCCATACTCCCCAGCAACTCACCCACAAATTGTAATCATACAAACACTACACCTGAACCTACACTTGCATCTACACCCGCGCACCAACTGTTATCGCATATGCACGAAGTGCATATTCGGTGACAGCTGTCGGAGAACCACCTCATCCTTGCAACCTGCTCTTCCTCTTGTCACTCCCTTGCCTTCCTTCTCCTTACGTGGTTGATCAGCCTCAGCCACCACCTGCCCCCTCCTGTGCCCGTGCTCGGGCTGCCTGAGCTCGGGTCACAGGACCATGCTGCTGAGGCCTTGTTCCTTTGACTCCTGCCGTGTTGCTCTGATGTGCCTTCACCGGTACTTCTTTCTCATTCTCCAGCACCAGCACCCCAGATTCACGCACCTCTTTTACTCTCCACTACCCTGCTTCACAACTTTCCACCCACCCGTTCACTTGCCTGGGCATTCTCTCCCACCACCATTCCCTGTTTAACAGCTGCACCATTCTCTCGTGGTCGAGTTGCCCCTGCTTGGTGTGCACTTCTTTGATTACTGGTTTCCTCTCGCCTGGTGCGGGTATCACCCTCCATCTCTCCGTCGGCTGCATCTGCAGCTCCTGTTGATACCACCTGCAGTGGTGCCCCCCCCTCACTCTCGCTCTCTCTGTCACTGCCTCCTCTTCTTCCGTTTCCCCCATCAGCCACTTCATGGCCTGCTCATTCTCCGAGATGTTTGCTGATTTCCTACTCCCCTTAACCTCATTCAGCACAACCTGCTTAGTCAGCAGCTCCCTAAATTTACCCTTGCATATCTCCTTATCCTCCGGCGGCCTTTTCCTCCTCCCGTGTAACACCAGTTTGCGGCTGCTCAGCTTTAGCTCCCACTGCTTTACCGGGCCCTTACGCCCCTCCTGTGTGGCAAAGCGCCTCCAGTGTTTCGCTAGCATTGCCAACATCACCTTCTTCCCTTCTTCGCTCACTGTCTCTCCCCCCTTCCACTCTGGATTCTCCCCTTCCATGCGGGCCCAGGCTCCTTGCGGGACTGCGGCTGCCTCTGCTTTTCCTCCCACCTGCTCGTCCCGTTCCTCCGCTCCAGTTGCTGCTGATACACCCGCTTCTACCCCCACCTGCTCGTCCCGTTCCTCCGCTCCAGTTGCTGCTGATACACCCGCTTCTGCCCCCACCTGCTCGTCCCGTTCCTCCGCTCCAGTTGCTGCTGATACACCCGCTTCTGCCCCCACCTGCTCGTCCCGTTCCTCCGCTCCAGTTGCTGCTGATACACCCGCTTCTGCCCCCACCTGCTCGTCCCGTTCCTCCGCTCCAGTTGCTGCTGATACACCCGCTTCTGCCCCCACCTTCCCGTCCTTCTCTTCCACTTTTGCTACCGCTGATGTGCACACCTGTGCCCCCACCTTCCCGTCCATCTCTTCAACTTTTGCTACTGCTGATGTGCACGCCTGTGCCCCCACCTTCTCGTTCTCCCCTTCCGCTTCTGCCGCTGCTGGTACGCACGCCTGTGCTCTCACCTTCTCACACCTCCCTTCCGCTTCTGCTACCTCTGGTGTGCACGCCTGTGCCCCTTGTTTCTTCCCTGGTGATAGAGTTAGTTCAGTCGGAGCATGAGTGCTTGCCATCCACTCAAGTTCCCCCGTTCCTGCCGTCATCACAACTATCCCCTTTGCTATCCGCTTCTCTGGTGCCATCAGCCCCTGTTCTTCTGCCATGACCTTCCCTAACATCCTGCTCCGTGCTCCAGTGTCTGTGATCACCGTCTTGACCTTCTCCCCCTCCATTGCCGTCGCCTCATTTCTCACCATCAGTTCTGAGGTCTGGCTTACCCGCCCGTCCCGCGAGTGGCGAGCTACAACGTCCCTTGGTGTCGTCTCCTCTGCCTGCTGCCCCTTCTCTCCCTCCCTTTTGTCGGTGCTCCTGCAGGTCGTCCTTCCCTCCACTCCGTAGTCCCATCTCTTCCCTTCCCTTCCATGCCACGTACGCGCGCTGCACCTCCTGCTCTACTTCCCTGTCATCCTCATCCCTGGCGCTCGTTCCTGCCTCTGCTTCCCGCCTTTGTCTGAGTGCCTGCAGCTGTGCTTGTAGCCTGCTGAGCTCATGTTCCAGCTCTTCCGGGTTCCCCTTTGCTGTCCCCTCCCGCTGGTAGCAGTCCTTCGCTTCACGTCCCTTCTTGCTGGAAATTTCACACCACGATGCATCTGGGCACTCTCTCCTCAAGTATCCTGGCTTCCCACAGCGATCACAGTTCTTGCAATCTCTCCTAACGTGCCCCGACTGTCCGCATCTGTAGCAGGTCCTGTTGTCTGCCCTACCATCCCCTCGTCCCTCTGACCTTCCCTGATCTTCAGATACCATTGCTGCTGCCCTTATCGGCCCACGGCTCCTCTCTGTCGTTTGTGGCCGGTACGCTTCAAACTTCCTCTGCGCAAACTCTATTTTCTCTGCCAACTCGAAGACTTCATCCAGCGTTGTGTCTGCCCCCATTTCGTACACCCTCATCCGCAATCCGCTTCCCATGGTGCTGTCGAGTCCATCCAGGAACTTGCTAACAAGAAGGCCCATGTCTGCACATGTTACATCCTCCGCCAGGTTGATCAGCCGGTTGTAGTAGGTAAGCAACGACTCGCTCCACCCCTTCCTGAAATTCTGAAATTCTCTTATCTTCTCCGCGGTGTGCCCTGGAAACTGCCGCTGTAACTGCTTCAGAAATGCTTCCGTGGGGTCTTCCCCGTACCTTCCTGCCCTCTCTAGCAACTCATCCATCTTCATTCTGTACAGCGTTTCCGCCTCCCCTTCCAGTGTGTTCGGCAGACTCGGAAAAAAATCCACCGAGTCCATACCACTCCTCTCGCACCTGTATCTCACATTCCCTACTTGCATTAAGTAGTTCTTGAGTGAGGGCCCTGTGCGCTGATCTCCCGCGAATCGCGCCGGCACTTCCACTTGCTCAAACATCGCCGTGCTCCCCCGACCGTCTCCCCATGATTTACTCAGTCCTCTCGCCTGCCTTCCTGATGACTCCCTCTCCCTTGCTCTCTTGATTCTTTCCCTTGCCACTCTGGCGCGCTCCGTGCTGTATGCCAGCCCGCCGCCTCCCCCTTCGCGTCCGCGCTGGTCCTGTCCCACCTCCCTTCGCATGTCCTCCGCACTCATCCGTGCTCCTGCTCGCCCCGACTGCCTCTCTGGCGAGTAATGCGCCCTCGCCCAGCCTTCTCTATGCGTTCCGCGCTGCCAGTGCCTCTCGGGCGAAGGGGATCTCTCGTCCCTTCGCCCTCCGTGCCCGCGGCGACTGTCTTGCAGATGCCACTCCTCCTCCCATCTCCCTCCCTGCTTGCGCTGCAGACCTGGCGAACGTGTCTCACCCCTTGCCCTTCCCG